TTAATCGTTGTAGTTTGCTCTCGTTGGATTTTTGTTTGTTTTTATTTGGATGTATTATACTCTATCCTTTAATAATAATATGGTAATTGCTCCCCGACTTTTACCCCATTTTGGTAGTTTGTCTTCCGGGGTAAAAAAAATGTTTATCATAAAGGTTTTGGTCTTTAGTTTATTCATTCATTGAAGTGACCCAAACTCGAGCAAGTTTGGAGCAAAGGTGGAATATTATAATGTTCCATAACAAGATTCTTCAACAGCTCTTACTAGCATTATTTAATTTCAATTGTCACGTTCTCGAGTTATTGTGAAAGTAATGTAGAAAATTAATTGGAGTCAACTCAAATCGTGGGATCAATAATAATTGATATCAAAAGAAACGATTCTTTTCCGGCCATAAGTGACTTCGAATGGACTAACGAGGGGTTATTTTATGATTTGAAACGTAAAATTAATTACATGGATAAATAGGATATTTTTAATTCAATTAAAATTTTCTGGTCGAATTTAATCTAACCTAGTTTGTTACCGTCTACGAAATGGTTTAATCTATTGAAATTTGATTTAATTTGATCTGGTCTATTTAAATCTACTTTCTTGTAGCTGTGATCCGATCAAGTAAACAAATGAGAGATGTGTATTTTATTATTGTTTAGGTCTATCCGAAATGATCTATTTAAATCGAACATGACCTAATATAAGTTTTTTTTTGAAAGATGACCTAATATAAGATTTAAACAAATCTCATTTAAACATGGACAAAAGTAAAGAAGGAAGGTAGGTGATCTCTACGATCCGTAGAATTTTTTATTTCGTCCATTAGTTGAGTTTTATTGAAATTAACTCAGGCAAAAACCCAATGAAAAGCGTCATAACATGTTATATATGGGACGAATTAGGATGTTTTTACTTGGACTGTAATTTGCCCCAGACCAGACCAGACCAGACCAGACCAGACCAGACCAGTTCAGACCAGACCAGACCAGACCAGACTTGGATGGTTATAAAAATACAAAGAAACCAGACCTTACCAGACCAGACCAGTTCAGACCAGATCAGACCAGACCAGACCAGACCAGACCAGCAAATTACAGTCCAAGTAAAAACATCCTTAGGGATGATCTAGCTATGTAGGTTTTGCTATCACAACAATAACATACATGTTCTTATATTTTCAATAGAACAATTTGAGATGGACTAATATGAATCGATCCATGATATCAAAGTCATAAAGAGAAGAAAAATAAAAGGATAAAGTAAGATAAAATCGATAAGATAAATATAAATATAAGATAAAATAACATAAAAACATAAGAAAGATAAAGCTATAAAAAAACATAAGAATGATAAACAAACTAATGCGGGAAGGAAATAGGTGATTGAGTGAATCTTCAAACTATATATGTCTGTTCGAAAGCTACTTACATATCGAGAGCTGCTGGATCACTCAGTCGAACCTAATTATACAATTGATAGATTCATAGTGGAGTTTGTCAAGCTATTGATTGCTACCTAGAGGAGTACGTACTCAGCTCGCTTTAAGGCAAAAATTTGCCAAAAGGTTATTTATTGCACGGAAATGCAAAAATCATGAGGAAACAGAAAACGTCAACTTTTGCCCAAAAAAGGCTCATATGGAGAGTTTCCAAAGAGTTTCTGAGAGTTTTCGAAACGGGAAACATACTCTTTCCCGAGAGTTTCCATGCTACATAGGTTATTTAAGCCGATTGGGTTTGTTGTAGATTTTGAGCATTTGAGAATTGAGATTTGGTTTCGCTTCAGTGCTTTTGGATAAATGAGAATGTAAAACTACTTTCGGACTTCATTTTTAGTAGTGGTGTTTTGAGTTGGAGAATGATGGGTGTTTCAAACTTTATCATCTGATCTATTTCCTTCCCACATTAGAGCTAGGACGACCCTCTCTTTAAAGATGAGATTGGTACGTTGTTTTATGAAAAAATTCCACTTTTGGTCCCGTGACTATTATGCCACTTCTACATTAATCCCCTGACTTTCAATTTAACCAAATGTAGTCCTTGACTTTTTCTCCATAACCACCCGTCGTCCTTCCGGGCTCAATTCCGGCTAATGTCAACCGGAAAACAATTAATGAGGGGGCATTTCAGTAAATTTAGGTTAAAAAACGGCTACCTGATAAACTTTAACATTAAGTTAACTTAATGTTTAGTTAATACGACCACCCCCCTCTACCTCAAAAACCGAAGTGTGTTCTCCCTCTCAAGTCTCAACAAAGCTTCAGTCACCTTTGAAAAATCCCCAAAATCGTTCGAAGAATGAGGAACCGTCTGGACCGTCGGTGTGAAGGAGAAGGAACAAGTGCTGAACGGAGGTCGCCAACAAATGTTTCTGATAAAGGTAAGAGGCTAAACTTTTATAAGAGAGTGGAAGAAATTATTGAATATAAGGCTGAACTGAGGTGTATATATTTGGTGTTTGCAGTGTATGCACATGTTAGAGGTTTTATGTTGAGGTTCCCTTTTCCCCTTTTCCTTTTTCCCTTTATGCGTTCACATGGTAGGGTAGGTTTTTTTTTGGGTGAGATTCCCTTGGCCGGTTGTCTTAGCTTTAACCATTTAAGAAATGGGACCAGTTCACTTTTAACTTTACGCAAGGTTATATCCATACATGCTTTTCTTTTGTTTTTTAGTAGTATTTATCAAATATATTTATGGTGTTGTTGTAACCTATTAAAGACATTATTGACCTAACATTGAAAAGGCATATATAACACAGGTTCAGGCAACTGTGGAAACACTTTTACTTTGAGGTTGTTTTATGGAGGTAAAGTCTATGACAAGGATAAACCTGCATACATGGGAGGGTCAATCCATAATTTTCATGATGTAGAGGTTGATGAGTTCGGTTTGATTGTGTTGAATGACAAGTTACAAGAACTTGGCTGCACCAAGAAACTTATGACAGTGTACTCCTATTCCAATGAGGATGAGTCCCTAAAACAACTACACAGTGAGGCTGAGGTTTGGGGGATTGTGAATGATGGAATTGTTGGTAAGGTGGTGGAGTTATGGGTAGAATTAGAACCCAGTGGTGACACTGAAGATGATGATGACCCTGAAGATAGTGACTTTGCCTACAGTGAGAAGGAGTTAGAAGAATTTCCTGGAGATGAAAATGACTCTGATTTGGAAGACTTCATTTCTAAGGAGGCTGCTGAGTTATCTGCTCATGGAGGGTTAAGTAGCAGTAGTGAAGGAGAAGATCACTTGCCTGAGGCTTCAATGGTAGATCCGGATCCTAACTTGTCAGATGATGGTTCCATACATGAATCTGATTCTGACTCTGAGAAGTGGACTAAATTCTCTGCCAAGACTGATATGAAAGAACCAACCTTTAAGTTGGGTATGACATTTGCCACCAAACAGGAATTCAAAGAAGCTGTGGAAAATCTTGCATTTAAGAATGGTAAAGATGTGAGATTTGTTAAAAATGATAAGGAACGGGTTGTTGTGGAGTGCAAGCATATAGGTTGCCCATGGAAGATGAATCTTAGAAAAGTAATGAACTCTCATTCTTGGGTGATTTTACAGTACCATTCCAAACATGAAGGTTGCTCTTGGGTCTATCACAACAAAATGGTGAACTCAAGCAAGGTAGCAAATAGGTGGTTCAAAGAGATTGAAAGTCACTCAAATTGGAAAACTAAAGAGTTTAGACAGAAAGTATGTACTGAAGAACGCTTCCATTTGAGTCTCAGGCAAGCTTATAGAGCAATAACTAAGGCAAAGAGGAAACTGCAAGGTGAAGAAGAAGATTACTTCAAGAAGATATGGTCATATGTGGCTGAAATAAGAAGAACCAATCCTGGGAGCACTTGTGTTGTGAAATTGAGTGAGAATGTTGAGGTGGATGGACAACAAAGGTTTCTGAGTCCAACCTTGTTGACATTACCATGATGTGTGCCGAGGAAGCTATTTTTGGAAGTGAGGTTCCTATTATTGTGAGTGTGGAGGACACTAATATGTTTACACAAGACACACAACTCACTCAGGTCTCAGAAGAGAGGACAGAAGAAACCAATGAAGAGAGCAAAGAAAAGAGGGCAGATGAGGGGAAAGAAGACAGCAATGAAGAGAGCAAAGGAGAGAGTGAAGAACAGAGCAATGAGGTATCAGAAGAGGAGACTGTTGGGACTTACCAGAGGACAAAGCAGGGTGTTAGGATATGCTATGGACCACCCCCTAGTCAAAAGAAGGGCAGTACAAGTGTTCCTAAATTTTCTCAGGTTAATCCGAGACCTAAACTCACCATTCAAAGGGGACCAAGCTATGCTACTAGATCCAAAACAACATTCAAATCAGTCTTCTTTGGAAATGATGATGAACCCATTGATATAGAGTAGTGGTTGGAGTCAAATGTTTATGAATGATGGTACTTTGATGATGTAATTGTATGGACTACCTTTTTTTCCTTTATGGGTGTGACTGTCACATGTAACAAAACTCAAGATTGTTAAGTTATTATGTATTGTTTCATCTCAGTGTGATGATGTAATGTATGGGATAGCATTTTGGCTGTACACTATCTCATCTTTTTTGGGAATGACTTTATTGTGTAACAAACATCATGCATCTTAGGTTATGATGCCAGTAATTATATGGATGTGAAGTGACTTCATTTTGGATGTTTGTCTGTAATTGGTTCTTAAGTTATATATGTGTCATCAATGTGTGTTTGAAGTGATTATATGGTTGTTAAGGAAGACAGCATAGCATGTTTGAGTGTCATATTTGTAAGTTTTGTAGTCCACAAGATTGAAGTCAATTTGAAGTGATTTGGAACTGATATGTGTCATCACTTAAGGAACTGGTTTTTTAAAGGAACTGATATGTTAAGGAACTGGGTTTTGAAGTCATTAATTGGCAGACATATGTGTAATAGATATGTGTTCCACACGTGTTTTGAAGTCATCAGCTGAAGTGAGGTTAATCCAAGGTAATAGATATGAACTCATAATGAACAGCTTAGACTCATAATCATATGACTTTCATTGATTTTCATACCAAATCATGATAATAAAGACCTTCAACAAAGGTTTTACAAGTACATGAGCACACATCTCATCAACACCAGCACTACATTATTTGGCTTTCAAGTACACTGAAATAATAACAACCACAACACACATAAAGGACACCAATTTTATACATTTACTACATTTTGTCTGCATCTTCTCTGCTTGGAAACTCTTTGTCTCCAATGCTTCAGCTTTCATCTCCAATGAATGGATTTTCTCTTCATACACATTCACTTTTTTTAATAATCCTGGGATGATTTTTTGAGACCTTTTGCACATTGGAGGGTCAAACCACTCCATCAACCCACAACCTTCAAATCTCTGCAACCACATATATAAACAAACAATTCAATCAATCAATATTGAATTTCTAAATATTTCATATATTACATTTAACCTATCTTTTCACAATCATATATAACCTGCGTTCCAATGCATTTCCAAAACCTTCTCCCACAGTTCTCCGGTTTCCAAGTTGTCAGCAGCTTCAATCGTTGCCCACATTCACAATACTTGACCGGAATCCACTCTCCATATTCATATTGGCCCGTACAATTTGAACTTCCAGATTTTGAGCTAGACATGACCACTTCTTCAGGGGGGTTGGGGGTGATACTAACGATGAAGGGAGTACTTATGGCGAGGAGAAACTATGGCGAAGGAGAAGCAATGCTATGGTGAGGAGAAGCTATGGCGAAGGACTGCTCATTTCTAATTTTTTGGTTGACCGAAAATTGCTTTTAACGTTGGAGTTAGGTAGGAAAGTTATAAATGATATTAAATGACACAACTACCCCTCATTAATTGTTTTCCGGTTGACATTAGCCGGAATTGAGCCCGGAAGGACGACGGGTGGTTATGGAGAAAAAGTCAAGGACTACATTTGGTTAAATTGAAAGTCAGGGGATTAATGTAGAAGTGGCATAATAGTCATGGGACCAAAAGTGGAATTTTTTCGTTGTTTTATTGTAAAAGACTTATTTGAATATAATGCGAACATGCAAGCAAACAGCTAGATCCATGGATATATACTTCAAATTCCATTACAAGTCTCATATGACTAGACATAGAGTCATTCACTAATAGAAAATAACAGATTGACTCGCTCATCAGGAGACAGACAAACATTAATTTCGCAAACCAATTTTTAGATAACAATTGGTTTCATACAAATACATTGTTGGTGCCGCACATGTCCTCCACACAATTAAACCATATATACCCAAAATGATAGATTCATAGTAGATAGATAGATCGTTTATAGTAAATCATCTTGAGAATTTAGTGCTCTGTGCCGAGCAACAAACGAACCAGAACCAAAACCAAAACCAACGTTGCACCATCACTCAGCTCGGACCAACGCGGCAAAAAATATACTCCCGCTGTCCCAATTTGATGGTCTCGTTTTTTTGGGCACAAATTTTAATAAAGTATTTGAAAAGCTAAAAGTTGTGATTAAGATTTGAGTAGAAAAAGGTAAAATGGTATGGACCACATCTTTCGTTCCAAAAAGGGAAACAAGACCATCTCATTGGGACATCCCGAAAAGGAAATATGTGACCATCATTTTGGGACGGAGGGAGTACGTAATACTCCCTTCGTCCCGCTAAAACAGTAATGGACCCGGCCGGCCCGGTTCCGGTCCGGGCCCGGCCGGGCTTTTTTTGGGGAAAAAAGGCCCGGGACCGGGCCGGGTAGCCACCGGGTCCGGTCCGGGTCTGGGCCGGGCCGGGCCAGGCCTCGAGTTTGGTTTTTTTTTTTTTTTTGCTTTCCTACCCCCCCCCCCCCACCCCCAAACCCCTCCTAACCATCAAGCCCAACCCGAGTGGAACCTCAAAAAATGAAAAGAAAAAAAAAATCAATTCGGTCTGAGCCCGACCCGGCCGGGCCAGTTCGCCAAATACAAGGCCCGAGCCCGGACCCGCCCCCACTGGGCCTAGGCCCGACCCGGAACCGAGAACCGGGCCGGTCCCGCACAGTAGCGGTCCGGGCCGGTCCACGGGCCGGGCGGCCCGAACCGGGTCAAGACTACGCTAAAATGGTCCCATTTTACCTTTTCGGGAAATTCCACTTTAATTGTCTCATACTAAATTTGGTAAAGTTTGTGTGATTCTAAATCATTTTTACTTTACTCTTATTTTATCAATTAAATATCAACCACACAAACCCACTTTTCTTAATAATCGTATCACCTTCTTTATCCCAATCTTAGTGGGACGGAAGTAGTACTTTATAAATTAAAGTTTGAAAATTAAAATTACTTACCGAAGACATTTTCTTATGAAACTACTCGATGATATGAACGACTTCTACGAAACCAAACAATTTACTCTATCAACATATGTTTTCTTTTGGACTGTTTTCAGTCCCAGACCAGACCAGACTTAAACAGATCAGACCAAACCAGACCAGACTTAAACAGACCAGACCAGACTTCCGTAGTTATAAAATACATAGAGACCAGACGTTTACCAGACCAGACCAGACCAGTAAATTTCAGTCCCAAAGAAAACATCTAAGAGTATGATTATTGCATCATTTGAAGAAAACTTATTAAGGAAATAAGATAATTGGTTTTATTGTTTTAATAGCATATGTATTTTTTTTTCAAAAAGGAAAGAATATGTTACATACACTATTGAAATCATTTTTTTATGAAATGGTTCAATCTCATCGTAATGCCGCCTCCGACTGAGTCCGACTCATGAGATGATTGACTAGTAGTATACTACTCCGTATTTAAAATAGTTCAGGTATTTGCCCATAGAATCATTTAAAATAGTTTAATTAGGTATTTGCCCGTAGAATCAAATTCATTATTCCAGCGGCGTAGATGAGGGCGCGCAAAAAGTGCTACCGCACTACGCCTCTCGATTCAGAAGACCCGAAAATTTAGTCTACATAATATACAAAATCATTTTTATTTGATTAAAGATTCCTATTTTAGTATTTTTTTAAATACAAACATTAAATACTAATATTTATATGTAATTAAAATGCAATTGTTAATTATAAATGTGCAACTTCTTTATTACATAAGGCCTGGATAAGGACTATTTATTACTATAACTAGGCCTTACTAAAATAAAGATGGTTTACAAAAAATATGATTAATTACTAGAGTAGTAACGAAATCATAGTAATTCATGTTCAAGTTTTGAACTTAAGTTACCAAAACACTACGTTGTAGTAATGAATAGTCATATTTATGTAAATGAGTTTTATTTTAGTAATATTCTTGTAAAAAACTTATATAGTAATTAGCAAAAATTCCTCGTACAGTTTGGACGAGATTGGTTTTAAGAGACAGAGGGAGTATGTAGTTTTTTCATTAACATACTACTCTATATTTTTTAGTTCATGATTTTAATTCATTTCTTTTCAGTTTTAGTTTTTTTTTACCGATTTTGGGTGTTCAGGTTCGAAATATGATTATACCTCAATGTCACATTTGATTATAGTCTTTTTTGGTTATGTTTTAAAGGTTGTTTTTCATATTATACGTAGTATTTTTATATAATATAAGGCCCATTTTACGTGATTTGCACCGCGTTTCCTAATTTATTGAGCCGACCTTTCATTATTCATTGAAGCCCCCACATAATGCCTTTCTATATACTAGTAGCTTTTTAAAATCCTTCATTCGCTTATGTAAGTTATGTTAATACGTATCTCTATGGAGTCAGTTAGTCAGCACCCACTCAAGCTAAGATAATTTGACTGTTTGAAATATTTGAATAAGAACAATAATACGTAGTATAAAAGTCCGCCATATATGTCAATTATAGGTCGAGTCCATATAAAAAAATTACTTTACGTTGCACAAATATTACACCATGTCGATCATGTTTCCATAGACAGATATATGTCCAAATAATATGGGTGGGAGCGCAAAACCAAATTAACAAGTTGATCGATGTTTGTGACAAAATATAATAATTAATCAGTTAAGATATAATTAAAGGAAACAAAACATAATATACTACCTCAGTCCTATCTTATTTAGCCAACTTTGACTTTTCCAGTCAAAGCAAAATGATAAACTTTGATTCATTATTTTAACTAATGTATATATGTGAAACTTAATACATTTGTACTTTTATGATATTACTTTTAATAAAGAATATTTTCATATGATTTGCATATTATCAATATTATCGTGTATAATATATAAGCGTGCGGTCAAAGTTGAGCATCATTGATTTGGAAAATAGTGATTGGTTATATAAAAATGGAAAGAAAACGCTCCGTATAGAAGTATAAAATTTTTGAAATATGAGAATAAATCGAATTATAAAAAAACCTTTCTTCGACAATTATTATAGAACCGAGAAAATATGCCTCGACTTTTAGACCTTTCACTCGATCGAGCTAAGTCACTGAGTCTCTAATATACTCCCTCCGTCCCCAAAAGAAGTTCTTCATTGCTTTTCACACATACTTCGTATTAAAGAAGTAAATTTATTGGGGGTAAATTTTACTGTTTAGACACTGTTTGATCACTATTTGACACTATTTTGCACTGTTTGACACTGTTTTGATATAGATAATTTGTCAAATAAGAAATGAGAAACTTAATTCAGGTACTGCCCATAAAGGAAATGTGGAACTAGGGACGGAAGGAGTATGTATTAAGATTTTCAAAATTACTGTTGCACCTTAGAATTGAACATCATGCCCCAACATTCTACAATATAATTTTGAGTCAATAATGCCTTTTTTGGTCAAATATGTCAACTTCATTAATTTAGATTTCAAATAATTCATCATTCTAAATCTAGCTAGAGATAATTTATAACCTTCGGTTCATGCAATAATACATGACTTATACATTGAATATAAAAATATAGGATATGTTTCGAGATTTTCTTATTGTTATGTTTGGTTGAAATAATGTAGAAGAAAAAGAGTGACAGAAGAAGTGCAAGTATTACCGACTGATCAACTTGTTTTTCAACATTTACGTCAAAACTTTATTTTGGGCTATTGTGGGAGGTGGGCTAGGGGGGGGGTAGTGATGTCGGCATATCCTACTCATTTTAGTTAGGGCCAATTAAAAAGAGTGGTGGAAGGGGCAAGTGGATATAAACTTTCTCTTGATTTTAATTATCATTTCTACAAACAGATAAACCCCATGGAATGATCAGTCATTGTTACACACCCTCAAAGATGCGCGGAAGAGGATATAAGAGATATGTGATAATATTTTCGAAAAAAATACATATTTGTATTAGGCAATTATTAGACACATATATATTGTATCAGTGTATGATTTTAATTTCTTTCCAAAAAAAAGTAGTGTTCTTCTTACATACGAAGTATATATCGCATACACCTCACCTAAAATTCTGTCCAAGTTCCACTCTCAAGTACCGCGTATTTATTAAAAGCAAATTTAAAATTGAATTAATATTTGGAAATTTTTGAGTTGAAGTTATGGTGGAAATGACGAAATTTTTTAAGTCGGTTAAATTATGAAAAAAAATTAGAAAAATGTACTCCTACACCAACCTTTTTACACAATCGAAGTCAAAATAGTGTTTAATAAACAATTTAGCCAATTAGACTAACAAACTGAAAAACAATGTTACCAAGAGACACTATCTCGATCTCTTAACTATTTGGATATTTTTGGATTTGGGATAAAGGTTCTACTGAATTACTTGAAATCAACTTCAAGATTCATGC